CATGTTTTGATTTTATTCATATGTAATTTGGGTCGGTGGTGGTGCTTTCCAACATTTTCGGACACTAGTTAAAATGGAAAATAATCCCAACGAACCCGATGGTCCAAGTTCGATTAACTCTCTGCGTTAGAGGTCTTAGGAGCATTTTTTTATTGGTCTAAGTGGGGTGTTGAGTCATCAAAAGAATTAAATTAATGAGATCAATTGATGTGATGTTCTTATATGTATATAAAATAATTAATATGATTAACATCAATATAATGCTTAATTAGAAAATTATGTGATGTTCTTATATGTATATGAAATAATTAATATGATTAACATCAATATAATGCTTAATTAGAAAATAATATGAGAGTTAAATATTTTTTTTTTGGTCGAAATATGAGAGTTTAATTAAATCACATTCTGCTTGGCGAGAAGTGCATGTAATTCTCGTGAATGAGCAAAGAAAAACAGGACATTATTCACGTCATCGACTCATTGGTTAGCTAATTACGATTAATAGAATGCCAATTAAAACCTTATTGAAATTTTAAACTCTCAGTGACAAGAAACTAAATTATTGGTCATGCATCATATATCAAACAGTGTCGAATGGCCAAATCAAAAGAATCTATATACAATTGTTTTCAGATAACCTAGCATAAATAATTGAAGTTTTATATAAAAATAAATTATATATAATTTTCATAAATATAAAATAGTTTTTTAAGAAAACTTTGAAAATCTGTAAATGCTATGGTATATACAAAACAATGTAAGTCACGTTCGGTTACGAAGTTAAGTTATTTCATTTTAGCGTTATAGAGTAGTGTGTATACTTGGAAATTGGAATGCCTCACAACACATAATATTGTTATTAATTCAAATAGATTTTTTTTTTGTTAAAGAATTCAAATAGATTTATAAAAGTAGGTAGCTAGCTCTAGCTGCCCAACCCCAATATATATATCAACATGCCATTACTTCCAACCATAATCACACTCATAGCAATCGAGGTCCTACCACAATCGCACGAGTTAACTACTAGTA